TCCCAAGTTCTACACGTCACCAGAACATAACCAACCGCAACACAATAAAAGCAGTGTTATACAAAATGGAAGGCCTGTAGTGTTTATTCTCTTACAGTAAGAATTTATCAATTTTTTTGAGGAATTTATTTGAGATTTTCTGTTTTTTGTTAATTGTGCAATAGAAAAATAATCATTAGATTAATTTTCTAAATAGTCATTAGAATAGTCGACTATTCGATAAAATAATCGTCAGAATAATCGTTTTAAAAATAATCGTTTACCCCAAGCCCTAACCCCGGGGAATCCAAGTAGCACCAAAGTTGTCAGCATGAGTAAACAAACGTACTGCATGCTAGAAATTAAGTCCGGGTTGCAATTAGGGCTGCAACAACGAATCGATAAATTCGATGAAAATCGATTACTAAAAGCGTTGGCAACGAATTGCGTCATCGATTCGTTGTGTCGCACAACTCTTCCAAAAGCGCCCCCCCACCCCCACCCCACCCCCCTTCCCGCCCGCCGTTGCGCGCAGACCAGAGCAAGTCAGATCAGCGCGAGGGAGAGCCGCAGATCAGCGCGAGGGAGAGCCACAGATCAGCGCGAGGGAGAGCCGGCAGATCAGCGCGAGGGAGAGCCGGTACCGGCAGATCAGCGCGAGGGAGAGCCGGTACCGGCAGATCAGCGTGAGGGAGAGCCGGCAGATCAGCGCGAGGGAGAGCCGGTACCGGCAGATCAGCGTGAGGGAGAGCCGGCAGATCAGCGCGAGGGAGAGCCGGTACCGGCAGATCAGCGCGAGGGAGAGCCGGTACCGGCAGATCAGCGTGAGGGAGAGCCTGCAGACTTTGTGCTGCTGCGAACCGGTTCCGCATTGCTGCACAGCGATCCAGGCAGCTGCTTCCAGCGCACGGTCCATTCTCAAAGTGGCGCAATCAAAAAACTATAATTAGCACACGATCGTTCTTGTCTGCACATGTTCTCTATTTTCTGTCTTATTTGTGCCTGCAGCGCGCTACTGCGGAGCTCATCACCTGTGCTGTGGTGATGTCACCTCATGCAGCATCGAAACGCACTCTGCGCTTTGCGGTCAGGAGATGATCTGCTCAAAAGTAACTGATGAGGTGAAAAGGTAAGAATCCAGGCAACAGATTTTCTGGAGAATTATGAGGAGATGCAGGAAGATTAGAGACAGACAGGACAGGAAAATAGTTAAATAAAAACAAGAAAACAAAACAAAGTGTTGAAAAGTAAAATGTAGGTAGATTTATCTCCACTACACGTTTTTACCTGTAAAAAACAATAAGTTATACACATGTTATATTTATACATCTGATACAATTCAGATCACCTTCAAAACTCAGTCACACACCCAGGGCCGTTTCAAGACATTTTGGGGGCCAAGGCAAAATGCCCCCCCCCCCCCCCCCCACTCCCATAACTGGGCTCCCCAGAAGCCTCTGTGTAATTCATACCCTCTCCAGGAGTGTTAGTTATACAGTGTTTATAAAAGCCCCTCAGACATTACTGACATGTTCTAATATTATCAGATGAAAAACTAAATAATCAGACATGCTGTCTCATCTGCTGCTTTTCTAAACTTGCAAAAAGTAACAAAACCATTTGAAAGCCACTATTTGTGGATTCTCTGAAAGTTTCCATGGAGTGTGTGACAACTTATTTTTTCATTGATCCTATCGTCTAATCTCACAGCTGAAACAAGCATCCTTGATAATCTGTGCACAGGAAGCTTACCGATGCTGTAGTAAAACAAAAGGTATAATAATTTATTATTAATAAAACCTTGTTGCAGCACTAAAGCATAAAAATGAGAATTTGCATTAAATATGCTAAATATTTACATATGAATAGTTTTAGAGCCCTTTTATTGGCAGAATCTGATATTAATTTAGTTCTTACAAAAAATGGGTCCCAACATGGTTTGTGTGGCGTTGCCATAGTGTGACATCATAGGCACAGATCCCCTGTCCTCTTGTTTGGAAATGGAAATATGATCACCCTACATTAAACAAACTGTCCACCCAGGCTTTTGCGCTGCACAGAGACGGTTCGCTGCCAATGACTTTGAACGTCAGTTGAGAGTCAGTCTCATGCAGACTGACCAATGAAGAGAGGGCCTCAAGTTAAGACCCTCTCCTCATTGGTTAGTCCACACGAGGTGGGTCAAAGGTTACTCTGGGCGGGTTACGTGTTGTCAGGCATTCAAGTATTGAGTATATTTACTGCATATTACAGTAAAATATTCTGTATGTGACCATATTATGGTGATCCTTGGGTCGTGATGATGGAGCCCTTGAATATTGTTGCCCAGGGTACAACAAAGTGTTAATCTGGCCCTGGTTCCGCCGTCACATTCCCACAGAAACTGGTTGATCACACCGGGGCCAGACTACTAGCATGTGGTTTTACAACCACAATGTCCTCGGAAGCAAAAACGCTTTTAAAAGGGAGGGAGGAGTCCTAACTGTTGCTGCAGGCGTGTTGTGTGAGAGTGCAGTTATATACTGGTTAATATATTTTTGGGTTCAGTTGCTTTCATGTGGCCTAATGTGAGTCTATTTGGGATCATTGGAATGATCAGCAGCATGTCTTGATGTGACTTTATGGCAGTTGCCCAGGGCATCATCACAAGGAAGATGGCATTCATTTACTTTTGTTTTATTTGGTATTTTTTCAGTCATTTTTGGAAATAGTGATCAATTTTGATTAATTCACAGCCTATGTTTAATTACATTTAAAATAAATGTTAACAGATGAGATCAAACAAAACAGATGAGAATTGCCCTTAAGCTGTTTAACTTGGACCAAGCATTTTAGGTCACAGATAGATGTAGCTTAGGGTCTCTGTCTATACACCTTATAAGACAATTTAGGTGATGGCATGTTGTTTTTCTGCTATTGAACTGTTTTCTAATAATGTTGTGTTAAATAAAGTGAAGGAAGGAGAGAAATAATGTTTCCCTAGCAGTTTTTAAAAATGTCCCCATGTAATCCGATTAATCGATTAATCGTGTCGAGACCCCATCCGATTAATCGATTATCCAAATAATCGTTTGTTGCAGCCCTAGTTGCAATAAATGGGAGTTTCCTTTAAGCACATAAGCGTGAATATACAACTACGTGTCAAGACTTGGTATGCTAATTAAGTTGGGCTGTGAAGCGCCTCCCAAATTCGCTGTTTATGTTTTTGTTTATTTATTTGGCAGACAAAACTTGGATCGGAGACAACTCGCGTGGGAAATTGCAATGTAGCCATGCGGCGTCTTCTTCTTCTGTTTGTCTGGGAGGCGGAGGCTGCTTTACGGCATCTGGCTGTAGTGCGTGTTGGTGTACTTGAAGAAGGCTGTGTATAATAGTCCATAATATCGATACCACAGGGATGGAATATCTAATTTAGATACCACTTTTAGTGCGACAGTAGGTTGGTTTATGCTTGACACGTCCGCGAGGTCCGCACGGCTCCGCGCGGAAAAGTTGCATCATTTTGCGTCATTTTAACAAACACGCCCCTCCACCGCGCCTCCGCACGGCCCAGAATTTCCGCAACGCACACCTCGGAACATTTCTAACCACGCGGACGGACGGACGCGGAAAAACATGGCGGACCAGCAAGAACTAGTATGGCAGAGGTTCGTGAATACAGACATTTGTATGATTCAGCTCTCAGATCACCGTGATCAACATGTTGTTAATAATTCTTGGAGAGAAATAGCTCGCACTGTCGGAAAAGACGAGAACGCTGTTAAAAATGCTGAAATGCCAAGTTGTAAACAGTAATTTCTACTTCTACTATGGTGTAGTGTTGGGTGCATGCCGTAGAGCTCCATGCTGCCCCGTTCAGTTTGGGAGAATATTGGCTCACCGCAGAGACGAGCCGCACGAACCATAAACGTTGCGAGTTGTGAAGCGCGTTCCATCCGCGAGCCGCACCACCAAGGGGAAAGTGAATGCGTCAAGCATAAACCAAGCTTTAGGATGTGCTGGGGAGACAGGATGTAGACTTGGATGTGGGGTTTAAACTACCGAAGTATCACTCTGCGATTGTTTGGGTGACTGTGGGTTGTGACAGGCCTCTTGGGATGTGGGGGCTCCTGGGTGTACCTTTTATGAGGTACCACGCCAGGTGGATCACCGTGAGGTGAATCTTGTTTTGGGGATGAGGGACGTAGTGGTTTTGACCCACAAAGTTTTCGGCCATAGCGGTCTTCGGGGTGGGTTATTGTTAGTGGGCAGGCACCCAACGGCACCTGCGAATGTGGGGAACTCAAGACAGTGGGTCATGTTCTTTTGCGTTGCCGCCGATACGCAGTTGAACAGAGTGGCTTGTTTGGCTTTTTTAGGAGCTGTGGGGCGTCTGTGTTTAGTCTGTGGACCTTGTCGAATGTGGAGGATGGACGTTGACCGAGGGCGCTGCTGCGTTTTCTGCAGGCAATTGGGGCATACGAAAGTCTGTGAGCGAGTTTGGTTGCTGTATTGTTGTTGTCATAGATATATATATATGTAGACGTCCCGTGGACTGGAGCTGCCATCTGGAGCTGGCCGGCCACCATCTTAGGTTAGTTTCCATTTGCACCCAGTGCATTCATTTAAACTGAGGTATGTGGTTACCCAACCCAAAAACACATTTTATCAAATAAAAATATACATGTAATTAAACAAAATCAATAAAAATATAAAATCTCATCAGGTAGGCCAGAAGTCAATTGTTATCCCACGTGATTTGTTTTCAACAGTATACAGTTGCTACAACCGTAGGCTGCACAAAAACGGACATAGTTGCTCACCCTGCACTGATTTTGGAGTGACCCACCCAATATGGTGGCGACGAGCGTATGGAGGCACACGTTTCACGCAAAGCATCATGGGTCACAATACTATGGCAAATACAGACCCCCCCTAGCTTTAGCTACAATATGGCTTTAGTTAGCAGAGCACACTTTCACCATACAAATACTTTTACCTTCCACCACAAAACCACGTGCTTTTCAGACACACTGACTGACCTCTGGCCCATAGAGCTGGTCTGCGTATTCACTGAGCAGGTCCAGAGCCTCCGCGGTGCACGGTCTCTGGTTCTTGTTGTTGCAGGTTATCAGGATTCCCTGCATGCCCACCTCCAGTTCCCCCGAACGCTTAAACCGCTTGTGGTGTCCGGACATGTAGCGCTTCTTGTTCCGCTTTCTTGACTCATTTTGCACGGCTGACATGTTACAAAAAATTGCTACCAAAATTTTAATAAAATGTGCTCCAACCCTTCTATGTTCTGTTTTTTTCTTGCCGTACCTTACCCAAGCTTTATAGCACTACAAATTCTGCAAACTCCGGCTGTCCAAGGAATAACTGCAAAACGAACACGTGTAAAGCCTTCCAGCCACTGTTTAACCCATCGACATAACCACGTTTAGCTTTAAACCGTAACTCCAAAAAGGAGGCCTTTACGGGAAGTCGGGAGGGACAAAAATCATTGGCTGAGCCCAAAAGCGAAACAAAGTACAGTGAAACGTCAAAGAATTTAATTTTAGTATAAAGTACATAAAAAAATACTCGAACATCCATAATATACAATATTTACACATAGGTTTAGTTTAATTAAAGTCCCCAATAACGATTGTAGTAGTTACTGGGGTCTAAGAGCAAACACTATTCAATCCATAAATATGAACTACATGGAAGACAAATAACAGGCTTATAAACAATACAAAAAATTAAAAAGAACAGCTCCACATTAAACATACTTTAGTTCAGGGCTGCCAACTTAAAAAAAAACGTCTTGGAGTGAGATTTTCTTTCATTTTCATTTCTGTGTGTGTATGAGGTCTCTGATGATTTTCCTAGCCCTTTTCAGACACCGCTTCCTGTAGATGTCCTTTATGGCAGGAAGTGGTGCTCCGGCGACGCGCTGGGCAGTTTTCCCGACCCTCTGCAACGCCTTCCGGTCCGAGGCGGAGCAGTTCCCATACCAGACTGTTACACAGTTGGTCAGGATGCTCTCGATGGTGCAGCTCATGAGGAGTGGGCCAAAATACCTGCTGAGAGGTGCAGAAGTCTTACAGTGGTCAGGAATCATTTGATAGCAGTGATTGCCTCAAAAGGTTATTCAACAAAATAGTAAGTTAGGGGTACCATCATTTTGTCCAGGCCTATTCCAGGAGTAAACTTTTTTCTTATTTCAGTTGAAGCACGGTGGATACATTTTTCCATTTTTGTCAGATTCAAGTTATTTCTATGACCATTGAGGGTTTTTACTTAATTGACCGAAGGGTACCAACAATCTTGTCCACATCTATATAAACATACCTTCACAAATACACATCAGATTGAAAAACAAAGTAGACCGACGCACAATTTTCAGTAGGCTTTTTTCAGCAGCGCCTGTTAAGGAGAGTAGGGTTGATCTGACCAACAGAGATGGAGGAACCCTCAACAAGAGCAACCATAGAGTCACTCTTCATCAGGGCTGACTCCCATTTAAAAAAGTCACATCCTTTCTCCATGAGGCCTCTGCCACCTGAGCGACGAACCGGACAGCAATAAAAACCCCTCCCATGGTTTGGACCACCGTTGGACACAACCTGCCGTTTTGACCGACGGCCGCATGCACACAGCGGAGAAGTGATCTTTTGCTGTCCTACTGATGTGAAAGAAACACAGGAACGATTGGCAGAGAATGAGGATGTGTTGGTTGAGAGAGAGGAAAGGACGTTGGGAATGTGACGAGAACCAAACGAAGAGCGATGGGAGGACCCTGAGGCCTTCTCTTTTGGCTCAGGGTATTTGGTAATTGATACCTTCCAAGGCTCAGTCCATTTTGGGACCTCAGGTTTTTGCCTAGCAGTAGAGGTATTAGGGGTGGAAGTCTTTTCTGGTAAAAAGGGTTTCAAATTCACAGGAGAAACCACATTTGTTTGCTTGGTTTTCTGGAAACCTAAGTTTGACTGAAGATCTGGAGAAGTCATACACCTTACTTTTCTTTGATTCAATGTACTCCAGTTAATGGTTTTAGGCACAGCAAAAAGCGTATTAGATTCTGACCAATTCTTAGATTTACATATAATATTTTGCTTTCTTTGATTATTTTCTTTTAGATCCCCTAATGTAACGTGACCCTCAGGTGACCATGAATGATCTGGCTCTTCCAACTCATAACACCCACTGTCAAAATCTGACACATACTCAACGTCATGCTCTCCTTCTGTGTCTCTTACGGCATCATCACACTCCAACACCACGTCATCATAAGAACCACACCTGCCCTCTGGTTCCACTATAGGTTCTGCGTCCTCTTCACCCAGCTGGCTTGTTTGTAAGGCCTGGTTTGAAAAGCAGCTGACAGTGGTCGAGCACAGAACATGGCTGCCATTTACTGTTCCTGTGGATGTACAACTAGCAGCTGCTTTCGGTGTATCAGGCCTGCTTTTTTGTTCATGCAATGGTGCGGTGCTGATACTCAGCAGCGTCTTTGGTGAAATCAGGCTTTGACAACTTGAATTTCCCTTTGTGTCCAAATCTCTCGGCACGGGCTCTAAACGGGAGTGCTTTGGAACATTTTTGAGAGGAACTTTGGATGATGAAAGTTTGCTGGTGGTGACGACAGTTTCCCTTTTACTGGTATTCAGGTTTCCTTTCTTGTCTTCCACAGGGCGAGAACTGCTTCCACACATGGGTTTGACCATCACCGAGGTCTATGAAAAGAAGACATATTTAGTCAGTATTCAAAAACGAAAAGAACAACGACTTTGTACTATTAAATTCCTTCTATCGGCAGCTGTAGGTGGTACAACGTACGCGACTAACCATTGTGCTTCACACATGAGATCATTGGTTTTCTTGCAACATTTATAAGTAGGTGAAAAGTCTCCACCTACATTTGCGGTAAAGAAGAGAAGCAACTATTTTTCATGCTGCCATCTTTTATTTTTCTGGGAAAAAAAAATCTATGTTTTTAAAGGTATTAAAAAAACAAATAACCAATTGTGATTGAATATTTGAGAATACAGCAGCAAGGCAGAAATAAAAATAAAAAGGAAGTATGTGATTCGACAGAATTAAACTCTGGAAAATAAAAAGACCTGAGGCAGTTTTTTATTTTTATCTGTTAGAGGGAATTCAATCAGTTTGGTTTTGACTGTAATTGTTAAGGTTGTGCTCTAGAACGGTTCTTCATATTTACACCTGGAAGTTTGATTGTTTAAGTTCATTATAATAAAATAAATAAAGGCTGTGGTACTTAAAACTTTGACTGCTTCCAGCAACCAGGAGGTGTTTTAAGCTTCCTTTAGCTTCAATTTCTACATGAATTCCTCAGCCTAGTTATCATGTACATTGAGTGAGGTATCAAAAAGAATAAATATACTTGCTATATAATGCTAGAGCAAATTTGGAAATTAAGTTAGATTAAAACATTTTTATGCCACTCAACAACGTTCTAACATAGTATCAAATCAAATCAAATCAACTTTATTTATATAGCACTTTTCATACAAAAAAAATGCAACTCAAAGTGATTTACAGATTAAAATGGCCCCATAGATCCCACATTCCCATCCCAGCCCCCCTCCCCAAGTATAAAACAATTAAAAATTACAGTTCCCCTCCCGCACCCAACTTCCAAAAGTGGACATACAATCACCCGCACACTCGTCCATGCACACACACACACTCGTGAACACCAGAGTAAACAATAGGCTGAGTTCAGATGGGTCAGGTAATGAACGACACATCATCAGCGGAGCCATCTGCCCTGGCAATAACAGATCCACGGCAGCAGCCAAGACACCGGCCCATGACGCCCAGTGGCGTAGGGCAGAAACCCCCACCACTGCCCGGGCACTACCCGGGGAGCGCCCCGGCCGCCGCCGCCCCTGACCACCGGCCCCAAGGCAGAGGGCTCCGCAGAGGAAACACTGGAGGATTTAAGATATATAACATATAAAATAATAAAAGCTAATAATGATAAAAAGTAACTGATAAAAAGTGATTATAAAGATAGTAAAAGAAAACATAATCATGTAAAAACACTAAGATGTAGATAAAATGATAAAAATAATAAGAGATAAATATGTATTTGTAGATAAATAGTGATCAGTTAAAAGCTAAGCTAAAAAGGTGGGTCTTGAGCCTATTCTTAAAAGCCTGGATGTTCCCTTCGGACCTGAGGTATAGTGACACATATGGGCATAAAATACAACAACAAATAAATAACTTAAAATAAATGAATAAAGCGGTTCTTTCTGTTGTGTTTGTACCTCAACTGATCTGCTCTAATCAGTACCTAACCTGGCTTGTATACAGTAGCCGCTTCTCCAATTATTGCCGCATTATATTATTTATTTATCATGAGTATTCTTACTTCCTATATTTGCTCATCTCTTATTTTTATCTTTCTTTTTGCACCAAGTACCGCAGCAATTTCCTAATGTTGTGAGTTCTCGCACATATGGCAATAAAAACTTCTGATTCTCTCACACTTGTCTAAAAACCTCCATCATTAACACAGCTCGGACTGATAGCAACTATTGGACCATCCGGTTGTCGGCCTTGCCGATCCGCCACAATTCCCTAGGTCCTCCACTCAAATCACACTCGTGTATTTAGCAACAGAACGCCACTGGTGTGAGAGGTTCTCAGCTCAATAACATCAGAGGAGAAGAAACAGCCAGCTGCTACCACTTTAACTTTAGAACAAATAACCAGATTCCCAAAACAAACAAAAAAAAAAACACAATTTCGAGTCACGGACAACTAAAGACATTTGGACATAGGAAAAGGTGACTGGTGTTTAGCACAACCTCGTTTGCTCTGGCAATGTGGGTTTCTGGTTCTGGCAGAAGGTCCTGGGAAGATAGGGAGGGGTGAGTGTTTGTGTTTGCTTTCAAAACCTGGCAAGTTTGCAGATTCGCTATAGCAGCTTTAAAGAGCAAATCACCCCCAAATAAACATTTATTTGCTGATAAACTATATAATTGAGTGTCTAATTGTGCTGTAGACATGTGTAGTCAAAAATTTAGCACTTTAATGCATCTTAGTTAAAGTTGTAACTTTCTGCCTAAAACTGTCAGTGTAGCGCCCTCTTCAGATAAAAACTCTGCACTGCATTTGAATTTAAGTCTGCCATTGCTATTGGCTAAGAGGTGCTCTATAACGTCAGCTGGTACCATATGTTAAAATGCTGTTGTGAGCATGTGTGTGTGTGTGTGTTAGCGGCTCCGCCCTCTCGATCTGCCAGGCAAAAGCATTTGTTGCATTTTTCCAAGCAGGAAGTGGGGAGCTTCATGCTAGCGTAGTGTGCGTATTGCTGTAAAGTCACTGGAAACACGTCAGTGACTCGATGCAATCTGCTGGGTTTTCTTACACAGGATTTTTTTTTTACCTAATTGGATAGTACGTTGAAATGGAAGGTTTACTTAGTAAAGTGAATTGGCGCTATATAAATAACCCAAAATGCAGTAATAGAATTCCCAAGTGTGAAATGATTACTTGGACTTGCGTTAACTTTATTCAGTAAAAAAAATAAATAAATTACAGAATAAAAGCTAAAAAAACAAACAAAAAAAAAAACAATAAGACAGTGGAATAAAGTTTTTTGCTGAGCGTACAGTTCATACTTCAGAATCTCAGGCAGGATTTAAGGAGTGAGGGCTCCTGAAGGACGTCGTCAGGTGGCCACTCACCCTCTCCAGGCTCCGAGTGATCTTCATCACACATCCATCCCTCATCATCCTCTGTGCCAGCCGAGCTGTGTTTCGGGAATCATCCAAACCTGACGTGGCGAAAAGGAATAGTTGGGATCAGAGTGGATATTGTGGCGATTCATCTTGAGAATTTTCACTTTGTTTTGTACCAGAATGTTCTCTCCCAGAAAACTGTATTCCTAGATCCTGTAGTGCTCCGTTCAAGCCTTTGGGTTTACGGTTGTAAAAGAGCTGAATGGAAAAGAAAAATGTTGGACACAACAACATGCACAGCAGTATCTATAGTATCTGGTCATGTGAATCATTTACAGTGTATAAACAACAGATGCTCCAAGTTGTAAAACATATTTGCTTTAGCTGTGCATCAGTCATAAAGTAGCAATGGTCAGACAAATAAAGCACTGCTAATGTGGACTTAAGATGATTTAAATTTTAGTTTATGAATGAAAAAGTGTACAAAAGATATTCTGAAAGATAAAATGAATAGGCCATCACCCACCCTGTATGTGCTTCTCAGGTCGATCCAGTTATTGAGAACTTCTGGCTTAAGAAGCTGTTTGCGTTTACACTCATACTGTAAACAAACTCCAAGGTCCCAGTCTAGAACACAATAAAAATGAATGAACATTAAACGTACGCTAGTTTTGAAAATTGTTGGAACTTAAATATTTTGTAATAAAGTATTTTCTTCAATGCTCTGATTAACTCGTCATTCTCTTTGAGTTTTATTTTGATAAGACCAAGAAGGCAGTAAGTTGGGCTCGTTCCCAGTGAGAGTTGGACTCCGCCAAGGCTGACCGTTGTCACGGATTCTGTTCATAACTTTTACGGACAGGATTTGTAGGCGCAGCCAAGGTGTTGGCAGGATCCATTTTGGAGGCCTGAGGATCGGGTCCCTGATTTTCGCAGATGATGTGGTCCTGTTGGGTTCATCAGAACGTGATCTCCAGCTTTTGCTGGAGCGGTTTGCAGCAAAGTGTGAAGCAGCTGGGATGAGAATCAGCTCCTCTAAATCAGAGACCATGGTCTCGAGTTGGAAAAGGGAAGAATGCCTTCTCCGGGTCAGGAATGAGGTCCTGTCCCAAGTGGAGGAGTTTATGTATCTCGGAATTTTGTTCATGAGTGAGGGAAAGATGGAGTTTGGATGGGATAGGCGGATTGGTGTTGCGTCAGCAGTGATGCGGCCGTTGTACCGGTCTGTCGTGGTGAAAAGAGAGCCGAGCTGGAAGGCAAAGCTCTCGATTTACTTGTCAATCTACATTCCAACCCTCACCCATGGTCACGAGCTTCATGTAGTTACAGAAAGAATGAGATCTCTGATACAAACGGCCAAAGGTTCCTCTGCAAGGTGGCTGGGGTAACCCTTAGGGATAGGGTGAGAAGCTCCGTCATCTGGGAGGGGCTCGGAGTAGACCCGCTGCTCCTCTACATCAAGAGGGGCCAGTTAAGGTTACTCAGACATTTAGTTAGGATTCCTCCTGAAAGCCTTCCTGGTGAAGTATTCTGTCAAGTCCAACCGAGAAAAGTCCTAAAGGTAGACCCAGGACATGCTGGAGACACCATGTCTTTTGGCTGGCCAGGAAATGCCTTGGGATTCCCCCAGAGGAGCTCGCCCAAGAGACAGGGGAGAGGAAAGTCTGGGCCTTTCTGCTTAGGCTACTGCCCCCGTGATCCGACCCCGGACAAGCGGCCAAAAACAGATGGATGGATGGGCACTGGGTTGCATGAGGATGTGCCTGACTTTAAATTGGCTCTGCGGAGGACCAATATCAGCTGATGCCGATGTATAAAAAAAATGCTAAATATCGGCCCGATATATCGGCTTTTACCTGACCATGTTAGGAAAGTACACAACTTCTGGGTTGAGACAGAGGCTGAACATGTCTGTTGTTTGTTGGGAAAAGTCACTCCCTTCTCAAGCTGCAGGTTTTGCAGCCAGCGGTTGAACCGTGAAAGACAGATCTGAAGAGGGATCCCTGCTTCAACTTGCATCTGTTGGATATCAAAAAAACTGTCAATAGTAATGTATTACAATTTAAATCTAATAGTTTTGCAAATAGACCGAAACCTGTGTAATTCCAGTCAGCTCTGTGCAAAACCCAGACAGAATGGGGTGTTCCTGAGGTTGAACGTATGTGTGAAACTCCGACTCAACCTCCCCTGTGGACGTGTTCAGTAAAATAGCAGGAAACTCGACTGTAAAAGAAGAGATGGCACTAATTTAAAGCAACAACCATGGAAAACTCTGAAGTATAAATCACAATAGCAAACATGCAGTTACTTACTAATTTCCTGACCATAATTGTTTCTCTCTCTCCAGCAGGTGGACTCAAAGTCAATAACAATCAAGTATGAAAATATCTGACCTATAAGAAAACAACATTAAGTCAACATTTCACTGAAAATGGATGAGCATTAATACGATCACTCACCTGATACCACAGATTTCTTTGACACAGAGGATTGACTATGCTGTCTCAGTAATCCTAATTTCCTGTGGAGTTTATGAAATCAGAATGAGATCTAAACAGAAAACCTACAAACCTTACACACTTTAAACAAGATAAACATACCTTCTCTAAACCATTGTTGTATTTGTGTGGCTAGCACAGATTCACTTACTTTGCTAGTTTTCTTGTGGCCATATCTTTAAGTTTCATTTAAATACGGATCCTTTTTGTTTCTGTTTTCGTAGAAAACTGCAAGACTCTCGCGTGCTCAACAGTATCAAATTAAAAGCGGAAAAACCGCTCTTTTTAAACACAAATGTATAACTCTGCGCTCGATTGGGTAGTTCTGCCGGGTCAAGGCCAGTTCGCAAGGTAGAACACAGAACCATGAAAAATTGGATGTGTTTTTTTCAAAATAAAAGCAAATTGTGCTTGGCTATAATTTGAAGATTTTTTGCAACTCGCTTAAAAATCACACAAAATAATTTAAATTTTTAAAATCCAGTAATTTTTTGTTTTGAAGCTACAAATTTTCTTCTGAATTAGCATTCCGCAACACACAACGCTTTAATTTGAAGTCACTAAAAGGAAGTGTAGCTAATTTTGTTCTGACTTTTTGAAAATGTGTTTCCTCTACTGTTAACCACGTTGTTGTAGACTCTCCTGGATCCATACATCTGGTATTTACACCTTTTTAATGAAATTTGACCTATCTAACAGTTCCGTACTACGGTACCATAAACGTGTGTAAAGGTGAAACTTTCTGTAAAGGTTTTAAATGTCACGTATTTACTGTGTTGCTGCCATGTTAGAAAAAAATTACCTCATGAACCATTAACTCGTTGACCAGTGAAATACCTTATTTGATTTAGTAAAAGTCACACCTCAGACAGCCTGGTTGTGCTTGATATTGTTTAGTGTAAGTATACAGTCGATCTTGAATCAGGGGGTTAAATGTCTGAATCAGACAACCCATAAACATGAAAAAAACAACAACAACAAATAAACTAACTACCGGTGAAAAATCTACCTGACAGTGTTTTATTCTTGATCATCCCTTTCTGACATAAATGTAAATGTCAGTAGATACATTTACAGGATACACAGAGTTGTTTACACTTCAGATCAATCACATTGATGATGCTTTTTCAAATATTTGACTTCAGAGTAGAAAAGTCAGCTGGAACATGGAGCCTTCCTCTTCTGCAGCAGAAACATGCAACCCAAAGAAAAGAAAGACCGAAGCCTCCACAGAACACAACAGCATGAAAAGATCAAAGACAGAGGAGGGATGTGATGAAGAGCTGCTGAACAGACCCTCTGGTTCACCCAGACTCTCTGTGCAGCTCGATCGCTTGCAGCAGCCCGTGTCTTTGCTAGAGCTGACTGAGCTGCTGCATTTTGCTGCTCTGGGGACAGCAGGAGGCCTCAAACAGCCCAGGTAATAACAGGTGGAAATAACTAAATGATCGGGACTGAGGTCCAGTCTGTGGATTTTGTCCTAAACTTTAGGTTTCTTGCCTGTGTCCATCAGCTGGTGCCATCTTCACCATCAGAAGAAGGTCAAAGGTGTGAATGTTGTGATTTTAGAAGGTCTCAGTCAGAGTCACTTCTACAAGAACTACCTCACCATGGAGCACCTCAGGACCAACTACACTACTGTAAGTAGACAGAATGAATATTGATGCATTCTTAAGGAATGAATACAGATAATGTCTTTTTAAAATTTTTTGATTGTAACAGAGGGTCACCTTCACTCCATCACCCATCAGCGTAGCTTCTGGAATCTTTAGCAGTGACGTTCCTAAACTGGACCGTCCACCTGTTCCCAAGTCAGATGACAAACTGCATAAAGGTGAGAATTGTTTTTGGTTACTATCTTTGTGTTCCGAATTTTCAAATGTTCCCGTGTGTATTTATCTTTGAAATATTTACCCAAATAGTCACAGTTTAGGTTCTCGACCAGGAATGCTCGTTAGTGACTTAGTTCAGCAAAGGTTCTTCTTTTTAAAACCTCCGGTGTGTTTTTGTGCATTGCTGCAGCTGTGAAACATCACCCCATTATCAAAAAATACGGGACACAGAAGAGGGGAGTAACTGCGTATGTTCTCACCCAGGAAGAGATGATTAAGAACCACTTTCCTGTCAGAGGTACCTTTTTTAAATAATAATTCAATACAGAAGTGAGTTATTTATTTTATTTAATTTTTCTCTGTACTTTTTGCAAATGACATGACTAATCAAGAGAAAAAGTTCCACTTTCATCATTTGTAGGGCTGGGTGATATGGCCTAAAGTATATTGAGGATTTCACCTCGATAACGATAAATGGACAATAACTAAATGTATGCACAGAAACAAAAGTGTACCACTAGGTGGGGCTGTCACATGCATTATGTTGAATCAATCCAGGTGGTACAGCTTCTTAAAGTGACAGTGTGTATTTTTCCTGGCGATAGGGTTAGGGCTGGGCGATATGACGATTTTAGACCGTTTTACGATCCACACATCTGACGGTCTGTCTTTTTTGAGAGACCTTTTTATCACGATTCACAGCTCTGCTGTTGAATTTCTGCCTCTGAATGAAAAGGGAACTTACCCCAGGCGAATGGCACGCCTTTGTTTGACCCTTAACCAATCAGAGTGAGTCATAGAAATATATTAGTGCCCCGCTTGTTTTCACTTGTGTGTGAACAAACATGGCATCGGCCGCAGCTGAGAGCGACAATGAGGTTTTCGTTCCGAAGCGGAACGCAGGGTTTCCTTAGCGCGGCGCTAACAACTTAGCGACGTGACATGTCTCGGAGAAAGCGTGAAAACACGTTGGACGTTTCTTCTAAAGCAGAAAAATAACACTTCTTCTTAAGCAGAGCACGACGTTGCCTCGGCTCGTTCACCCTCTGCCGAGCCGGTGTCGGTACCGGACTGAGCTCGGTCACTGGGTCGTTGGAGCTGCCCCGTGACTGCCTGATGGAAAACCAGCGGGTTTCATCACACTCGTAGTTTCTTGTTTTTGCTGGGGACCCCCTGTATTTTACCGCTCCCTCCTGCAGTCTTCCCCTATTACAATTTAAAATGATTCTGTAAACTCCGTGTATCAATAGAAACAATCTCTTCCTCTGCCAGCTGCAGTAAATGTAGTTTCCAAATAATAAGAGGTGCATTCATCCGTGTATCTCCTTTGATCCGCATTAGTGATATTTTCAGCACCAGAACAGTGAAGCAAAGAAAGATTCCTGAGTTTGTTAGTAATTTTATTTATTAGGTGCATCTAACCTGTTCTATTTTTCTCTGAAATGAGATCAAATCAGTGCTTCTATGGGTTGTCTCCAATCTGCACTGGAAATGTTTACTTCATTTAGAGACTTGTTGCAGAAAATATTCAGAATGTGCAGTTTTTTGCTACCACAAGCGATCTCTGGTCCAGCCGCACATCAGAGCCGTATTTGAGCTTAACTATCCACTACATGAGCAACTGGGAGCTACATAGTATTTTGAACAAGTTAATGTTTGCACAATACGTTTGCAATTGACATGTTTGCACTTTAAATATGTTTACGATTTTAATTTATGTTAAGTTACTTGAAAAACGAGAAAAACTGATTTTTGTAATTGTTTCTCTCAGGGCTTTTATCATCTCTGGTGTGAGTTTAAAATATAAGTGTGTTAGCACTTTGCTGATTATCCCTAATATGAATAAATGTTTATTTATTCAATGTTTCTCTTCTTTAATACGCAATTGAAGTTATGCACGATACGTTTGCAATTGACATGGATAAAAAATCGTGATAAAATCGAAATCGTGATAAATATAGGAAAAATCGTGATATTCTATTTTTGCCATATCGCCCAGCCCTAGATAGGGTGCAGTAGATACCTAAATTGTTGCAAGCAAGCAGGAGTAAGACCTTACCAACGGATACCCATTAGGGTCAAAAAACCCTGGGGGGGTACAAACTTTAGCAAAATAACAAGCACATCAGACTCCCTTTCATCACTCGCAATGAGTGAAGACGTAAATGTGTAAAGCAACTTTTAAGAATGATGAAAGTTTTGTAACCGTTTGTTACAAATCAGTAAATGCATTTTGTCCTCTCGGGCTTCCGTAGAAGGAAACATGGCATCTGATATACCCAGAGACTTAGGGTGTGTCCGAATACACGGTAAGGATTCTTGTAAGAGCGCATTTTGAGGTCGATGACGTCACAGTGCAGCGACGAGTACTGTCCGAAATCCAAGAATACTCATTCTCGCGTCCTCAAACGTGTCCTCGCTCCACCCACATTTCGAGGACGGGTCTGTTGTATCCTCACAGAACAAGGCTAACCCAGCATGTTTTGCGTGCCGGCTGTGGATTTTCAACAGGAAGAGATAATGAGGAGAGCTACGAAGTTTGAAACGTAAGTTTGTTAAAAACTAGCCGTAGAAATCTAAAAAGCTTAAAGCTGTTCTGTTTATAGACATTTTTCGTTTGTATATTTGTTTTTTAAATTACATTTTAGGCAGAAATCAGCCAGAACAAGTTTGTATCACGGGTCCCTGTGTGTGTGTGTGTGTGTGTGTGTGTGTGTGTGTGTGTGTGTGTGTGTGTGTGTGTGTGTGTCTGTGTCTGTGTGTGTGTGTGTGTGTGTGTGTGTGTGTGTGTGTGTGTGTGTGTGTGTGTGTGTGTGTGCGCGCGCGCGCGTAGCGAATTAAACTTGTCATTTGTTTTAAGGACAGCGGAGCAAAGAAGCGTTTTTATTAAGCTTAGAGGTGACGAGTGAAGCTGTTTACACACAACCACAGAAGTTCTTCTGTGAAAAGTAGTTTTACATTCAGGGATTTACAGCTGACATGTTATAATGAAGTAAAAAGTGTTTGTGTGAAGAAAAATAATTTTTATCTTCTTATGTGGATAAATGTAAAAATGTGTTTATTACCTTTTTGTCACCTGTGGCCTGATTTTCTCTGTTTAGGACTGCAGGTGTCCAGGGTCAGGAGAGGCTTTACCTGGTGGTCCTCCTGGGAGAGAGGCCTTCTACTGTTATCATGTTAATGTTATTTAGCTGTTTGATATTTGAACACATTTATTAAAGCAAATACTAACTGATAATTCTTTCTGGTCATTGATTTTTATCACCAGTTTTATTATTACAGATATTTTTGAACATGTTACATGAACAGAAAATGAAAAGATGGTAAGGAGAAAAGCTTATTTATAATAGGTTAAACTTATTTACAGATCAAAACCAGTGCGGACCAGTTATGTACGGTTAAAGCAGGATTAACCTGAGTGACTCTTCCTGGATCATTTATTTAAACTGAGTGAGCAGGAAGTCTTTAACAGTGCAGCTGGATCTGCTGCAGGCTTCCTCTCACTGTCCACTCCATCGTCCATCTACAGGGACTGCTGGGCTGGCTCAGACGACGGCTGTTACATCTCTAAGATGTATTCAGAAATATGAAATGAGGAGATAGTTTATGGATCCACTGGTATAACAATTGTGACTCTTCAGCAAATAAAACCACAGTGTTGTTTTTAATAGAGGTTCCTACATAAATGACTTGCCTGTTAACAGTAGTGGTGGTCTGCTGGTACCTCCTGCAGGACAGAGCACCACTGACCTCCTCCACACACATCTTCCTCAGGCTCATCCTCCAGACCCACAACGTCACCAGCACAGAGGCAGATGTGCAGCACAGTGCATGTTGACTTGTAATCGATTAAAAAAGTTTTTTTATTGAAAAATGTAAAACAAAACATATAACCTGCAGTACATTGGTTCAGTTCAGTTGAAAGAAAAGCAGCAGGAAATAGTTAAATAAAAACTACAGAGAATTTACATTTTTAAGACAGATCTAATCATTATTAGGCTTTAGTTGAATAAACAAATGCACATTGAAAACACTTCAATGCTATTTTATTTAAATGCCTGTTTTTTAAAACGTTTTACCCCCATTTGATGCAAAATAAGAAGTTCTAAGGTCTAATTTACATTAGAAAACATCCTACTGCATTCAACATTTATAATGCATTTGGTTTATATTAATTACCTACATATTAATACGCTGTAGTAATGTGTTGTGTACGTTTAACAAGTTCATTCTGTAGCTTAAAACATACATGAAACCATCTAAAGTTAACATGTAAGTCCTGAAAGCTTCTAGAATAAACAAAGTTACTTTACCTGAAAACGTTTGTGAACAAACGCTGCTGATGGACGTGAAGCTGCTGTAGCTCCTAAATATTACTGCTTGATTTTCGCTAGCTTTAGCAGTTTTCCTTTTTGTGCAGCTGCCGCCGCGGCTGTGACGGGACCTACGGGCCACCGTAGAGGTGAAGGCTAGAGTGTCCGAATTCAGAGCCGCTGGGTTCCGGTCTTAGCGGTCTGGCAAGGACCCGGCCTTGCCAGACCGGCGAGGACCCGTACTCGTAAGCATCCTGCCCACGGATTTGGAAACACCCTTAGACCCTCTCCACTTATTTCAGACCTGATTTTTATGGTTATATGTTACAAAGCCGCCAATATTTTTCAACAACTCAGCATCATTTCATTAATTTCCAACAACATTTTAATGGATGTTTCCAGAAATTAATAGTAAAAACTACACATTGGCACTTTAAAGGGACATGACCATCGCCAACCTACACACATCTTTTCATTTCTTTTATTATCAAATTCATTGAAATGGGAAAAATTATATTGGTTACAGTCAGAAATTTCGATAACGATAAATATTCAATTTATTGCCCAGCCCTACTTCTTCATCACCCTCTCTTTATTCAGCTCTTTCTACCAATTCTGCCTTATCCGGGATCCATGGATTACCTCTTTCTTATTCCTGTTCTCTTTCCCTTTCCTGAAAATTTTATTCAATATTTTTTATTTTTCAAATTTTTATGTTTTAATTCATTTTAAAAAATCTTGTTTTTTATTTGTTCTTGTGAAGTGCCTTGTGATTTATATCTTGAGAGGTGCTATATCAGATCGTTTCTTCTTCTACTTTGTGACTAAAGCACAATAGGAACTCTAAGTCAGATCTGATGAAACTGCTTAGCTGTTATTAATTTGTCCATCTCAGACCACATATTTTCAGGTTTCGCTGACTGAATTTTGGCTTTAATTGTAACTCTTTCTGACACAGGAATTCGAGGATTTGAGGACTTTAGTTGTACAAAGAACAATGTCCGTGTAACTGATGACAGCCCGCTCTACGGGCTTGACTGTGAAATGGTGAGATCCGCTCAGTTAGAGGATTCATTTACCTTCCTAATGGGAGGTGTGACTAACAACCAATATGTGTCACTATACTGCGGCCATGTGGTGTTGGATAATTTAACACAAAACTGTTGATTAAATACCTTTTTAAGCATATTTAGCGCCAGCTTTGTTTCTTATATCGCTAAATTCCCCCGTACTTCTGAGCTGAGCATTTTTCTCTCGGCTGTTTTCCAGTGCCTAACAGAGAAGGGACACGAGTTGACTCGTGTTTCTCTGGTGGATAGTGATGGTAACTGTGTGCTAGATGAACTGGTGAAACCCCAAAGTCGTGTCCTGAACTACCTCACCAAGTATACACACACACACACACACACACAGTCACGCACACACATTTGTATGGAAAAAAATGCCCCTCACTTAGGGCTGCAACTAACGATTATTTTCATAATCGATTAATCTGTCGATTATTTTTTCGAGTAATCGATTAATCGGTTTGTTATTGTTTAGCTATTTAACCTATACAAGAGATGAATACATTTCAGTTAAGAAAAAGAAAAACATAAGAGAATTGTGCAGTTGACTGCAATCTATTTTATTGCACATGACCACAGTCAGCAGTGTAAAATGAGCTAAACAGTGCAAAATATCAGTCCAGAATAATTTTTTGGCATCAAAATATAAGAGGTAAATTCCATAAAAAAATAATGTAGAATCTGGAATAGAGTTTGTAAGTGGTATGCATTGCTGGGGGTGAGTGTCTTGTTCCCCATGTAGTTGTCCATCGTTGCTTGTTTTTTTCTGCATAAGAAACACAAATAACCTCCGAGGGCCTCACTAACTTTAGCGGATCTCTCCTGACAGGTTCTCAGGTATCACTGCAGCTATGCTGCAGCCAATCACAACCACCCTGCGGGTTGTTCAAGCAAAGCTCAGGATGTTGTTGCCTGGCGATGCAGTTCTGGTGGGCCATTCGCTTAACAACGACCTCATAGCTTTGAAAGTGAGTAACTAAATTGGCCTTTTATAAAGATTACTAGTGGTTTTGCTGTGTACAGTCTTAGAGTGGGAAACACCAGCATCACGGTTTCTTTTCTTCCCTGTTTCAGCTCATCCATCAGCACGTAATCGATACGTCGCTGCTCTACAAGAAAGAATTGGGGCAAAAGTTTAAGCTCAAGGTTTTGGCCGAGATGGTGCTGAAGTAAGTTCTTGTTGGTTCACTGTTTCGTTCTCAGTTCCTCTCATCAGGTAATTGCAAGTTCCTCTCCCTTGTCAGGAGGCAGATCCAGACTGATGAGAATAACGGACACAATCCCACTGAGGATGCTGCGGCTGCTCTGGAGCTGGCCCAATACTTTATCAAAACAGGACCTCATCAGGTAGGATACTGCTTTAAAGACACATCAGGGTTCCCCCAGGAAACTTGATAGTCCCGGCGTACTGTGAGAGCGCAGGTGGGCACACGGATCGTCCGTACCAGTGAGAAAGGGGGGTGGGGGGTTGGATGCTTAGCCTGGCGGGGGGACCAGGTGGCTTGGTGGGGAGTCACAAAGAGAAAGGAAGCAAACTGTCTGTTTCCTCTCTGTCAGGTTGTGGAGCTTCATCTAGAGGAGCTGTGGGGATACAAACCTAAGGAGGAGTCTTCTGAGTGCTCCCCAGCACCAAGTCACAGGCATGAGACTTATTAGTGTGTTTTGTGTATAAAATATCATCAGCATAATAATGGACATTTATCCTGTAATGTCTAATAATTTTACCTAATGGAAGCACATTTAAAGTAAAGGGCACTGGACCGAGCACTGAACCCTGAGGAGCTCCATAAAAAAACTGGTGCAACTAGAGGAAGATTCAATACATTAACAAATGTAAAAGATGAAGTCATTGATTCACATTTTCAGCTGCAGATATCCATTTTCTCACACAGGTTTACAGACATACTGCGATCCATCGGCCGTTCTGTGACCTATTTAGGAAAGCGTGCCGATGTTGCTTTGGATCTGTCCAATCAGCAGTGGTACAGCACTGACAAGGAGGTGAGGAGTTACAAATGTTTTGAAATCAACCATCAGCCTTGTATGTTAATTCCTTTTTTAGCTGGTTTACTGGCTAATTCTGCTTTTTACTGTATCTGCTTTTGATTTAAGATGTTAGATTTTTTTATATCTTATAAATGGAATCTATGAGCTACTTTTGATGCTGTCTACTTTCTTTTATGCTTAACACTTCCACGCTAACCTTTCCTTCTCTGAAACCCTATCCTCCCTGCAGGTGCTGTCATCTTTCCGGAGACAGACTAAGAACCTGTTCCTGTCCATCGTCCAGTTTTCCTCCTTCTCAGACCATCTGAGAAGACACTCCGCTCATCAGGAGCAGCTGCACCAGAGCGTGAGGCGTTTATCTTTATGTAATGTTTTGAAGAAGGTTGGTATGATTTTCATACTAGCTAGGTTTGTTCCTGCAGGTGTGTTCAGACCTTCGGGACATGTGTGTTGTGTTCGCCGGGCCGTTCCCTCCGGACTTCTCTGATAGAGAAGTGAGGCGGCTGTTTCGTTGCTGTGGTCGAGTGCGAAATATTCGAATGTTGAACACAAGCGTCCGGGTACGCCTCACTGGACTTCTGTCATTTAACACAAATTCTAACCTTTTAAATGCGAATAATTAGGCAAGCAGTGGGCTTTGTGTGTGTGTTTGCTTTAGTTTCTCCTTTTTTCTGACATTTGGTGTTTAGATTCATGCAGAGGTTGCGTTTGAGATGCTGGAAGGAGCTTTGCTAGCTTTAAAGGTTCTGGACGGACTCAGAGTTCTGGGCCAGCCCATTAAGGTAGGCTTGTGTTTCATTTGTACACCACAGTCATCATCTAACAGGTTTAGACTGCTTTATTAATGCTTTTTTAAATATATTTCAGGTGCAGAGGCCTGTGAAAGAATCAATGCTAGATCTGGATTTGTACCTTGATACTTTATTGGTCGATTCACTTAACTCCAAACACCTTTACGCTGTGAAACCGAGTCAGCAGATGGCTCAGAATGTAAACATTTCCCAAAAAGTCAATCAGTACGTAGTAGAATCAAAAGGTCTAAGTGCCACATCTAGAAAGCTGACGAACGGGCTACCGCCTGCTAAAAAGAAATGTAAACAGTCACACCTCACCACACTAAAGCTGTCCGAGGAGACCGTCAGAGAGGCATTTGACCACTTTGGTACCGTGGAGAGCATAGTCCTGCCTTCCAAATGTTCAAAACATGTGTGTATAGGTGAGTAAAAGCCATTTGTCATTTGCATAATCCGTGCAGATCTATAATCCGACTGTCTGTTTACCAGAGTTCGAAAGTTCAGAGGGTAAACTTGCAGCCCTCAGCTCTTCTGAGGATCTGCTAAGTGACAGATTTCTAATTCACCCATCTGTTACGCCGCCCCACTTACCCTCATGGGTTGCCATGACGACAGCAGAAACTAAATCAAATGAAGAAACAAATGAGGGGAAAGAATCGGCCCACATGGACAGCAGTTCTCAGGTAGTGAATCAGATTTAGCCTAATGACTTTTTTATTAAAAAGTTTTGTCTAAGATATTTGATCTGTACTTTGCATTTGTGATATAAACACCTTATGAGAATACCTGTTTGTTTTAGGATCAGGCAGGGAATCGTGTGATGAAGAAACTGGACGTCAGGCTGAGAAAAGTCTTCAAATCCCTCCCAGAAGGCAGCTTGTCTGTGGTGGTGCTGCCCGGACAAACCAGGTGAGGACCTCTGCTGCACTTCTGACATCACATGTACTCCAATTTAATTTGTCTGAACTATTTCTGTTTTCTGTTGCAGCGAAAATGGGCATTATCCTGGTTTGTGTCTATTTCAAGTCAAAGTGTCTAGAGAAAATGTAAAATAAAATACAACATCTGGAGTTGTTGAGTCACTTAATATTTAACCATACCCAGTAGGATCATCTGAAAATGTCACCAAGTTTGTCTCAAGTGCTTTTCATCGTTGTAATTTGTAAGATTTATTTTTTAGAATAGCCCAAAACTGGCTTTTAATGATGGCTGAAGAGTTTTACCAGAACCTTAATAAAGCAGATTAGGAAAAAAACAGAAATTACTAAGAAACAATCTTTAATTTTTCCCCTTTTAAAAGGAAATAAGGATTTTTAAACTCATACAAAATAACGTGTCTTCAAGTTTACACATTTTGCATTACAGAATGAACATCGCAGGTTGACACGAATACAAAAACATCAAACACAGAAAAGGACAATAAATGTTCTGTACAAAAACAAGCACCTCTCAGGAAGGGTGAAAATGCCACCAACAATGAATGTCACATTATCATTGATCAGCGTACACGTCTAATAAAACTGGAGAAGTCCACAACTCGGTTTAAAAAGCAAGACCAAAAACTAAATGACAGCAATAAAATTCTAAATAACCCAAACATCGTACAGGACCTGTGGCTTTTGATCTCGTTTTAGTAAACGTATTCACAGGGACACAAACACTTGGAAAAACCGGTTACATTTCTCCTCACATGCACAAAACCTTACACACAACTCACGTTAGATAAGACTGATTAAAGATGATGGTCGTTAAAACTTCTGGATGAATTTAAAGTGACAGCATGGCCGTGGTGATCGTGTGGTGAATGAGTGAGGAATCCTGTAGCTTAGATTTGAGCTCTACAGTGAGTTTTACATAGACGCTAATCCAGAGGAGGTGCCTGCTCCTCTGATACGTCATCAGCATATGGCAGCTGTTGTTATGGCTTATGTTCTCTTTCAGTAGACAAATAGCTTGGCTGGTAGTTTTGACACTTTATCCTCAGCAGTGAGCGAGTGAATGAATTTAGCACTCTCAGTGCCGTACGTACGACCAGAAAGGAGAGCATTCCAAGTGCTTACAGAGAGACCTGGAGCAGGAGCCCAGGACTAGACGGTGGCCTCGCTGCTCCTCGCCTCGCTACCAGACTTCTGGGACATCAAACAGGGAGGTTGTAGACTCTGTTGCTGGGGAATAAAGTACAAACATGTTCAGATGAGTATTTGAAAGGTTGGATTTCATCCTGCTTTACTTGGTTTCCAACATTTATAAACAAGTTATGTTCACATTCTTCACAGCCACCATGTAGATCAGTGATATCAGATCCACTATAACAGAATAATTCATGCAGAGATTAACCCACCCTCAGTCTTCTTTTTCTTGTTCTTTTGACCTTTCCTCGTTGGTGCCGTTGGGGTTTGATGCCAGGTGCCCGTCCCATCAACACATTTGTCTGGATCTGTGCCCTCAGGACTCTTTTCATCAGTGACATGACTCAAGTCGGGTGAATTTGAAGATTCTCTGCAGAAAACCGTAACAGCATAAATGAATTGTAAAGCAGCAACAGCATAAATGATTATTTCCTTTCACTTACGTTATCTTTAGCCATCCTTCTGATGTTTTACTCTCAACAGCGTCGACGTTTGCTTGTCCACTGAGCTCTAGAAAAAACAGCAGAGAACTTCAGGTTGAATGCATCTTTAAAGTTGTGTGGTATTCAGAGAAAAGGGAGCAAACATTCAAGACCAGGTTCACTACTTTTTACATCATATGTGCAATTGTCTATAGCATAAAAGATTCCCTTGTGAGTCGATCAGTGGAGAAAAAGCTCTGGTGCTCCCGTTTCACAGACTAGAAGTAAGCTGGAGTGGTGAACAGGTGACAGGTTTTGGACGTCTCACCTCTGACTGGATAACAGCAACATGACTTACCATCAACTCTGTTTGCTCTGAAACGGCAATGTTTTTCCTCCACAAACAACACATGCCTAGAGATCTGCCATGTGGTGGAGTTGCTAATGCTAACCATTAGCTTCTTCTAGCTAAGACATGCTCTGCTCTTTCCTGGATGTTAAAAACCGCTTTTCTTGTCACGAATCAAGATGGGCGAGTTCATGAGAGCGTGACGTAGATCTGACTGGCTGGCCTTTTCAGACCCAAGCATTTCCCTGTCAGTGTAACCGATCGAATTTCAAAACGTTTTTGCAATGAAATAAATTTATATCAGGATCCACCATCAAATTTTATCTTCTTGCTGACTGTGTCATCTGGGAATGAGTAGTTATTCCAAGGATCTGGAACTGGAGCTGCTTCTGTTCCCAGATCTCCCTGAACAGGACTGATGCTGCGTTTTCTTCTGAAAACAAAAAAAATCAAAAAAACGTGCATGAGAAGAATCCTCAGAATCGGACTAAACCATGTTCTGTACAGCAGCACAGGCCCACCTGGGATAAACAAACCCAGCAGAAGTGGTAGAGGAGGAGAAGTGAGGTTTCATCCATCCGTCCTCCCCCCAGGATTTGGTTGTCTGGCCGAGCTTCTCCTTCTGTTGTTTACCCTGGATGTACTCTGCATACGTCTGGATCCTGTAGCTCTCTGCATAGCGGCTGGTGTTCATAGCTGTTTAAACAGGGCTAACATTAATACAGCATCTCTCCAGACCGACATGAGCCTTCAGCTGCTATCTCCTCCGACTCACCTATCTGCACCTGGTCCGTCTGACTGAGGGACACGAAGGCTGAGGTGTCATCTATCCAAGACACCTGGATGTTACCTGGGCAGACAACAGTTTCTGACACTGGGCAACAACAGGCTGGAAGCTGCGTCAGCACGCATCCTAAAATCTTACCAAAGGCACTGAAGAGCTGGTAGAGGTCACTCGTCTTCCACTCTTTAGGGAAGGTGACATAAAGGACGTGGTCTCTTTTGGGTTGCACTTAAAGAGTTAAACATCAGCATAAGAGGCTAAAGCATTCAGTTTCAACTCACTGACATTATACTGAATCATTTTACTCCATGATCTTTACATCGTCAGATGGTGACAAGTCAACTTTTCTCCACCGAAGCAGATCAGTTAAGTCACCATAAAGGTTTCCGTCACTGGAACTAGTGCGAGCGTGCCTCGCTGGGTTTATAAGCCCAGTATCTGACTTGAGTTACCAAAACAGGAGCGTTCCGACTCCTGTGAGCATCAAGTGTGGCACCAACTACTCCTACATTCTTTACACAACGCTACCAATACAAATCTAAATGACTTCCTGACGACCATATGATTATTTTCCTCCACAACTGATCGAATGCATCGACTGGGGTTCCCGATTCTCAGAACTGGATCAATTTGAAACCTCTGCATGCAGCAAGCTAAATTTACATATTTCTGTCAGAAGAGGTTGTGTCAGCTACTTCTTTACTCACAATCTGGTCCTGTGATGTTGAGGTAGGGTATGTCAATGATTCTCATCAGGAATAGCCTACAGAACATTAAATAATATTAAAAGTATGAACAAAAGAAAACACAAACAGGGTAGTAAATACAATCACGCTCACTTGTTAACAAATGGTTCAATGAGTTTGGACTTGGCAGAGATGTAAGCCTTGGGTGGAGTCAAGAATGAACCTGGCAAAAGAAAATAGGACAGTTCAAAGGGGGAACTAGGCAGTTTTTGTTTGCTTTTAGCACCAAACGCAAAATGCAAAGTTTAAGGATGGTGAAATAAATAAAAAATAACATTTAACCAAAACGACCTCAGCATGTTCAGGGATCAATTATAATAACAAAAGATTATTAAACTCAGGGACCTGAGTAAACCGTGCCAGTAAAAGAGTTCACAGCTGAGCTGAGCCAACAAAATGACCCAACTTTGTCTTCTAATCGGTCACAATCTGCTGACGCAGCATGAATCCACCTTACCCAGATGGTTGGCCATGGAGATGAAACACAGACCGGTAATGTAGGCGTCGTATCCCGCCTCGTGGAGCTGCTCCTGGGCTGTGTCATAACTGGGGAAACCCTCTGCAGCTTCTGTAAAAATGTCAAACAATATTACCATTTAGATACCTTCCTGAAAGGCCTCTGGAGAAAAAGCTACAACTGCCTACAGGACTGATGAGCTAACGACTAGTCCAAGCACAGCCACAACTAAAGTGGCCGCTGACATCTAAAACCATCTCCCAACTCCAGAGTTTCACAGCGGTTCATGCATGTAGTCTGAACTTTAAACCACCGTCAGACTCAGTCATTCCTGCCAGAATATTAATCCTTTTAAGTAATCTTGTAGTTCAATACATGAAACTGTGATAAGTGGAAAACTTCATGATTTTTGAGGTACTACTGAATTTTTGAAGATTGCAGTCACTTTAAGATGGAAGCAATAAACTTGGGTCACGGCTGCACTAGGACTAGCCGTTAGCTTGTCGGTCCTGTAGGGAGTGAGCACCATTTCTGGTGGTAACAGGTAAGATGGTGAATGTTTAAAACTTTTACACTGAAACACACGACAAAAGCGTTGGGACAAACTTGACTTACCAACTTGTGGTGGCTTGAAGGGGCTCTCTTTGACTTGTTTCTCCAGCTCAGCCAGAGATGTGTTATTGATCAACTCCTACAGAGCAAATAAAAATATCTATTACCCAGATGTTATCAACAACTTGGAAGTAAAATAACAGACCAAATCCACTTAGAGAGGTTAAAGTATTTGTTCAACTTCCACATGAATTGTGCCATTGGCTTAGGATAGCAGAGCCTGAACATCTAGGGACCAGTTACTTGGTGTATTTACATGCACATCAGAAAACCCAACTGTTGCCCTAAATGGACTGATGTGAGGTATTTTTAATGCGTGTGAACGTGGTAGTCTTGCTGAAGCACCCAGATGATGCAAGATGTAAATGACTCAGTCAGGCTGATATTGGTAACTTCTGGAAGGGGTGTTCCTCTGATATCATCACCACATGTTAACACGTGTAGCACCAAACAGTACGGTGTTTGGTATGTATTTGTATAGCGCCTTCTTAGGGTTCTACAACCCCCCAAGGCGCTTCACAACACAATCAGTCATTCACATGAGCTACGATGTAGCCACAGCTGCCCTGGGGCGCACTGACAGAGGAGAGGCTGCCGAGCACTGGCGCCACCGGTCCCTTTGACCACCACCAGCAGGCAATGTGGGTTAAGTGTCTTGCTCAAGGACACAACAGCAGCCTTCTCTGGTCGGAGCCGGGATTGAACCTGCAACCTTCTGATTACTGGACAACCCGCTCTACCTCCTTAGCTACCGCTGTCCCATATACCAAATAAACTGTGCTGCAGCGTTGTTGTCCACTCCATCAGCAGGTGTGTGTATATCCTGTTTTAACTTTGTCTGCTTCACTCCGACAGCGTTTTCTTTCTGCGTTCCTATAAACTAACCGGAAGAATGCAACACGACAGGGGGCATGTCACCACCTACTGTACCGAAGTAGAACAAACTTAATTTGAGAGTTTGGTTTTATAAAGTACTGTACATGTAGACTAGAATAAAGGCTTCAAGTTTATTACTTTAGATCGACCTAGATGCTCATGCAAATGCACTGACTGCATCCTTACCTTAAAAGGCTGAGTGGACGCCATCAGCTTTGTGTCTAAAAGTCTGCAAGTAGATAAAGGCATTGGAAAAATGTAAAGATTACAAGTGGAATCTGTTGCGATAATAAAAATATAAATGAAATTTAAAAAAAAGGCAAAATTAACTCAATTTCTTACCTTGGGAAAACACACATTGTAACTTCTTTAAAATCTTGAAGATCCTGTAAAGCACAGACCACAACTGCCAGCTTTAAACATCAAATTTGGGTGAATAAAAACTCGCGGTAAGGTAATCGTGTACCTCTGGCAGAGAGCAGTAGAACTGGTGGATTGTGTGCATCACATCCAAAAGCATGTTGTGTCCAACCACAAGTTTACCCTGAGCAGTAAACACAAATCCTTATCATTTATAATTCCACTGAAGAAAAACCAAACAATGAAAGCATTTGTATCCTGCAACTCATCAAAGGCAGATTCCCACTTGTGTTCATTTTGTAATTTAGAAATATTAGATGTGAGACGTAAAGATTGGCTTACAGATTTAGAAATGGCATGGATCACTCTGGAAAAGCCCACAGCATCATTTAGCTCCTCCTGTCAGGAGACAGAGACAAATGGGAGGTCCGACACGTCACACACAATAATTCATTATTACACGAGACAGCAGAAGATTCCCACATTTGTTCATTTGACCAAACTAAATGTCGATACCTAGAGATCAAACTCACCTGCTCCCTCTCCAGTTTCTGCTGTTCCCTCTTCTTCCTCTCCTTGTCGTCAACTTTACTAATCTGAATGTATCGCTCCTTCTGCATAAACACATCAGTTGCATCACTTGCAGGACACAAAGTAGGAAAATTAAATACACCGAATCATTGCATACCTTGTCTGTTTCTAATGTTTCCACATGGAGACCTTTGGGAAACCTAAATGAGCAAAATTGATTTTATCATTTCCACAAACTAACAAAAATAAAAGTTAGGCATCGCTTACTTCCAGCTCAGCATTTGGTAAATCAGTTTCCTCTGGAATCTGGCGAGAAATAAAATATGCATTCAGAAGGCAAATAAAAACCATGTGCATGTATGGGCATGAGAGACCAGATTACCCAGTGCACGGCTCCAAGTTTAAAGTCTTCTCGTCGGCACTGAAGAGCAACTCAACCTTCTCCCTTTTGTAGAGACATAACAAATAAATTAAAAGCAAAGAGGCAGGAACTAACAGAATGCTTAGAAAGGATTTCTAGTTTTTTTAACTAAAAAGTCACCCCCCTGCGTTTCTAGTTTTAAAGACAACAATTCCCACAATTCAATTCAACATTCCAATATTAAGTGGGGACGGTGTGTTTTAGAAAAGAAAACCAGTCTCAGCACTCAACACTTACACCACTTTGTTAATGAAGTCCTTCTGTTCATCAGGTACATTTGCAGGAGTTTTCGAGGATGGCGAGATAAAGGACGGCGTCCCTAAACCGTTAGCATGCTGATTCCTCCTTTCCTCCGTCTGCTCTCGCAGGCAAGCTTCCTCATCTTGATTTAGATACGGGATTCCTAAAAAAATAAATAAACCTTCTGATAAAGGGTTGCTCCATTTACACATCTACATACTGATATCTTGAGTATACTTAGTCACTCTGGAAAAATGTGACATCATAAAAACGATGTGCACTCACTTAGGCCAGATCTCATGTAAAAGTATCACATTAACCAGATGTTCATTATAAATTAGAAAAATGAGAACATTAATTACATTTATGTCATCATATCCTAATCTCGTAAAAGCTTTTAACATTTCTATAAGTGTTTTTGCTTCAGAAAATTACGAAACATTTTGGAGCAGAATGTGACTTAGAAAAATGTTTTTTAAACATTGTAGATTAAAAGACAATTTTTTTCAACTCACCGTGACAGAAAACCTTGTTGAAATCAAATCCCTGACTGGCGAGGAAGTCGATGCTGGAACTCTACAATGATAAAGAACTTGTCCTTCAAATCCTTCCTTATTCTGAGGGCAATTCATGAGAAGCATTCAAACAAAATCCTCCAAGTAAACTGCACTTACTTGACAGATGAATTTGATGTCTGGAGAGGTCCTATTAAATGGTTTGGGGAATATATAAAAGTTAAAAGTCTTTGTGATATACCTGCAGAAAATGGAAAACACAAGAGAAACTAGGATTGGTGATGTTTCTGATTAACTCTGTATCTTGAGGCAAATAGCAGGAAATATCAGCTAAAAATAATAAATTTAAACATGTGGCTCAAATTTTCTGTTTCATTTATGTCTATCAAATAAAAGTCACCTACTTTGACTTTGTCTGGTCATACTTAAATGTACACAATCCAAACTGGAACATAAGAAAGTCCATAGAATGCTGATAGGGAAGGAACGGTGAAAACACGTTTACATTAGACTAGACGTACAATCACAAACATTACTTGTGCTTAGCTGGTGTAAAGGGGGATTTACAGCCTTGTAAAGAAATCTGTGCAAATCAAAACCTTTTTTAGCTTTGTGTATCTTTCCTCTGGTGTGTCAAGCCCGTTGGTTAGTGCACTAACATTAGGACCGTCGCTTATCCCTAAAAAAAATAAAAAATACATCCATTTTAGCCCACAATGTGGCGTTTCTTTCAAACCCCCAATGGCAGCTAAAACTGTCACTTTTACCTGAAAATTCTCCATCGATGGCAAGAAAGTCCGCTTCGTCTATCGCGCTGTATACTGTGCTTAAACAGTCTTTAAAATCTGCAGAAAAAGTAGTGAATTAGTAATGACATGGACGAGTGTTAGCCTGCAGCTGAGCAGCATATGCTACCTAGCATGCTAGCTAAAACAGCAAAAGCGGTTTCGACTCTTGGCAGTTTTGAATATATAACACGTTATTGTTTTGTTGTATTTGTATATAAAAAAGTAAACAAAATTTTCAAATAACGCTGTCTAGCTTCTTACTTCTGCGAGTAATCTCCATCCCTGCACAATGACGGAACCGGCTAACCTTACGCTAGCCTTTATCAAGGGGCTTTTAACCGTTTGGTGAACACTTCCGGTTTAGCTGTGGTTTTTAGCTACTTCAGATGATTTATCTTCTTTTTCCACTCAAATATAAGAATGACTGAGATCTTACGTTTTCTTTCCCATTTTGCCTAATGAGATAAAAAAAATCTATATTATTTTGTGAGAAAAATTGACAATAAAGACGCTTGAATTGTATTACTAAAACAGAATAGAATAGAACAAAATAGAATAAAAGCAGTTCAATGTGCTTTTAAGGACTAACAGAACAGTAAAAACATAAAACACTAATCAAAATTTTTTAATAAATTTGATTACATAAAACATCCAGTTTTAAATTACAATTAAAAGTACAAAAATAACATTATATACAAAAGTCCTTCAGTGTTGTGCCATTGTCTAAATTACAGGCCGACCCATATATCGGCTGGCTGATATATTCAATCTTCTCTATGTTGGCCGAAATTATTTTTAAAAGCCAATTAAAAGAAAATAAATCAGGCACCTGTTTGAACAACGGTCACCACTACTACACTAAAGAAAGGACCCCAAAAAAAAAAACAACACACCAGTTTTTTTTATGTTTTATGTTTTATATTTGAAGTTCAATCAATATTAAGAGATTTATTAACTTATCTAATATAAATAGCACACAGTGAATGTTCAGTTGTCTCTCAGAATCATTGTGCTGCTAAAACACACACACACACACACACACACACACACACACACACACACACACACACACACACACACACACACATATATATATATATATATATATATATATATATATATATATAGTGGGGCAAAAACGTATTTAGTCAGCCACCGATTGTGCAAGTTCTCCCACTTAAAATGATGACAGAGGTCAGTAATTTTCATCATAGGTACACTTCAACTGTGAGAGACTGAATGTGAAAAAGAATCCATAAATTCACATGGCAGGATTTTTAAAGAATTTACTTGTAAATCAGGGTGGAAAAGAAGTGTTTGCTCAATAACAAAAATTCAACTCAATACTTTGTAACATAACCTTTGTTGGCAATAACAGAGGTCAAACGATTACTATAGGTCTTTACCAGGTTTGCACACACAGTAGCTGGTATTTTGGCCCATTCCTCCATGCAGATCTTCTCGAGAGCAGTGATGTTTTGGGGCTGTCACTGAGCAACACGGACTTTCATCTCCCTCCACAGATTTCCTATGGGGTTGAGGTCTGGAGACTGGCTAGGCCACTCCAGGACATTCAAATGCTTCTTACGGAGCCACTCCTTTGTTGCCCGGGCGGTGTGTTTGGGATCATTGTCGTGTTGGAAGACCCAGCCACGTTTCATCTTCAAAGCTCTCACTGATGGAAGGAGGTTTTGGTTCAGAATCTCACGATACATGGCCCCATTCATTCTGTCCTTAACACAGATCAGTCGTCCTGTCCCCTTAGCAGAAAAACAGCCCCAAAGCATGATGTTCCCACCCCCATGCTTCACAGTAGGTATGGTGTTCTTGGGATGCAACTCAGTATTCTTCTTCCTCCAAACACGACGAGTTGAGTTTATACCAAAAAGTTCTACTTTGGTTTCATCTGACCACATGACATTCTCCCAATCCTCTGCTCTATCATCCATGTGCTCTCTGGCAAACTTCAGACGGGCCTGGACATGCACTGGCTTCAGCAGTGGAACATGTCTGGCACTGCAGGATTTGATTCCCTGCTGTTGTAGTGTGTTACTGATGGTGACCTTTGCTACTGTGGTCCCAGCTCTCTGCAGGTCATTCACCAGGTCCCCCCGTGTGGTTCTGGGATTCTTGCTCACCGTTCTCATGATCATTTTGACCCCACGGGATGAGATCTTGCGTGGAGCCCCAGATCGAGGGAGATTATCAATGGTCTTGTATGTCTTCCATTTTCTGATAATTGCTCCCACAGTTGATTTTTTCACACCAAGCTGCTTGCCTATTGTAGATTCACTCTTCCCAGTCTGGTGCAGGTCTAGAATTCTTTTCCTGGTGTCCTTCGAAAGCTCTTTGGTCTTGGCCATAGTGGAGTTTGGAGTCTGACTGTTTGAGGCTGTGGACAGGTGTCTTTTATACAGATAATGAGTTCAAACAGGTGCCATTAATACAGGTAATGAGTGGAGGACAGAAAAGCTTCTTAAAGAAGACGTTACTGGTCTGTGAGAGCCAGAGATTTTCTTTGTTTGAAGTGACCAAATACTTATTTTCCACCCTGATTTACAAATAAATTCTTTAAAAATCCTGCCATGTGAATTCATGGATTTTTTTTCACATTCTGTCTCTCACAGTTGAAGTGTACCTATGATGTAAATTACTGACATCTGTCATCATTTTAAGTGGGAGAACTTGCACAATCGGTGGCTGACTAAATATTTTTTTGCCCCACTGTATATATTTGCCTAATAGTCGGCTTTAGAAATAGGCAACAACTATCTTTAAAAATCAGTATCGGCGTTGGCCTTTATAAAAAAACATATCAGTCGACCTCTAGTCTAAAGCTTGACTGAAAACTATCCAGACAGCGGTTTGTCTCCAAAAAAATCTTGAGCTGGATCAAAACTACATAAATTTTCCAATGAAAGGGAGATTGGAGATTGGTCTATTATTATTATTCATCAATATTTCATCCTTCCCAAATAACCAATGACAGGCTTTGTCTGACCAGCAATCATAGTCTTGGATTCCTGTCCAAGACAATTCCTGTTGGAAGCAAGCTAGAAATGGGACAAAATGTTTTGTACTTACTTGAGTTTTGTAACTGTAGACTGAGATTTGTGTTTTGAAAGTTCTGATTTGGAACTCTTACACAGATTTTTTTTCTGCAAGTTACTAAATAAAAGTTTCATGTTACTTACCAAAGTTACATGTTGCAAAATGGGAATTACATGCTACAAAACTAATTTACCAAAACGAAAGTTATATGTTAAAAGACAAAAGTTACGTGTTACAAAACAAAAGTTGCGTGTTACAAAATGTTAATTACATGCTACAAAACAAAAGTCACAGTTACAAAACATGTTACAAGTTACAAATCTTGGTACAAGTTAAATGTAATATTTTCCAAATCCTAGTTCCATAAGAAATGTGATTGGTAGCTAAGACTCGTGCTCTCATTGGTTCCACCCAAGTTCCTCCCATCGAAGCTAGAACTTAGACAAAATGATTTGTAAAACTGTAGATTTGAGGTTTGTACCTGTAGAATGAAATGTGTGTTTTCAGAGTTTTGATTTCAAATTTGTACATTGATTTTTTTTATTTTGGAAGTCTGCTAGGTAAAAACCGAAAGTTTCATGTTTCTGAATGAAAGTTTGATGTTACAAAATGAGTAGTAAATGTACAAAATAAAAGTTTGATTTTACAAAATAAAAAATACATGTACAAAATGAAAATTTCCTGTTGCAAAACAAGAAATACAAGTACAAATTGAGAATTACAAGTTAGAAAACTAAAGTTACAAGTTACGAATCCAAAGTTACATGTCACGAAACATGTAGTTTTGTTGCATGAAACATGCAACAAAACTTGGTACAAGTTACATTGAATATTTTCCCAATCATAGCTCCATATTAGTCTGTCTCCACTGAGATCCAGAGATGACAGATGCATTCATCTGATCTGTGATTGTATCCATCACCTGTAGAGCTTTCATCCATTTGTGATGTGAGGAGGTGACTCAGTGGATTCTGGTAGCTCCATCTACATTTTGAATTGTGAAATGAATAAAAAGGATCCTTTTCAAAATGTCTCAAAAGGAAAAGCAAGAAAATGGTGTACTCTCCATGTAGTGTAGAATATTCGCTTACATTAATTTATTAATGCTGGTTGAAGTTTCAACATGGATGAGTATTTCCGGTCTGAGAAATGGATACTGGAAGTCTTTCATCCAACTTTAATCTTCTTAGGTTAACAACATTCCATCCATTACAAGCATACAGGGTTTATGAAGGCGATGATGGAGGTAGTGTTCGCCTTGTTATTGTTGACTTGATGATGACTTGAGCATGTTTGATATTTCAGCCTAAAAGTGGTATGACATGGACAAAAATCATAATCATTCTCCGTTCTGGGTTTGATTTTGTACAGATAAATGCAGCAGCACTTTGTTTATAAACCATCTCAGTTGCACTTTCTGCTTGTTTGAGCAAATAAATGAAGCTTTATTTCTGGAATTTATTTATTATCATTGTCATTAAATAGAAGTTGGACAGATAACTTGATTTTGACTTGAAAATTAGACTTTTACATCATTGACTTTGGACTCGACTTGGACTTGGTTGTCTTTGACTTGACTCGAGACTTGCCTGGAAAGACTTGCGACTTACTTGTGACTTGCAAAGCAGTGACTTGGTCAAACCTCTGCCTAACAATTAATAAGATAACCCTAACAGAGCCAATAGATATAAAGTCAGTCTACAGTGTGATAAAATGCAACAATATTTATTATAAGTTCACATTTGGCGTTTTTCAGGTTATTTTATGAAAGAAACAGAAACTTTTTTTTTTGTAAAACAGGGATGGATGTTTATTATAGCAACGAGTTCACATGAAAAACTCCTCAAGATCTGGCTGAAAACATAAAACCCTGCAGCGAGGGAAAACAGCTTCTCTTTACATGAAATAGTGAATCGTAGGAGAGCCCTTCCAGCCAATCAGAGGAGAGTAAGGAGGGACCTTCCTTGGACATCCTAGGATTTCAAATGACGCTCCCCGCGTTGTTCATCCCTTTCTGCACTTTCTTGCACAGATTACCGTTCCGGGTTTTTCTCCCGTCCATGCATTTCAATATATTGAACTTCTTCATGTGAACAAACATGATCTCCGTCTCTTCTTCGGTCCAAAAATGAGCAGATCGTTAAACGTTCGTCTTAGCCGCCATCTTCATCTTCTTCTATTTATCTTGTAATCCTGCTTTCGCAGTCTTGTCACATCCGGAAGGGGGCGTGCCCAGGCCGCTCATAGCTCGGCTCAGCTAGGATGTTGTTTACATGCAGAAAAGTTTGTTTTTCTGACTGCATTTTTTGGGTAACTTGATTGTCTCCCATT